GCAGCAGCAACAACAATTTTATTATTTATACCTCTCCTGCCTGACTGTGTTGCACCAGCCACTCTGGGCAGCTTCCAACCTATATAAAAACATAATCAAACATTAACCATTTTGAAAAAGCAACAAATACCCTATAGATGGCTGCCTTCGGATGTCTTCTAAAGGTTGTATCGTTACTTATTTCCTTGGCTTGGGGGTCATATAACTCCATATCCTCCAACATTTCTCTGATGAAAATAGGGGCATCCTAAGGAAAAGCGGGACATTCTGGAATCAAATCAGAAACCGGGGCAGCTTCTATAAATCTGGGGCTGCCCCTGGGAAATTGGGACCTTTGGAGGGGCTGCCCTTTTCACACCTGCATGCTTTTGTTCTCCCATGATTCCCCTATAAGAATTACAGGAATGAACTGTACACCCCAAAATTTCATCACTTTACTCCCACAATTTTATGGGTTAAGGGGGCTGAATTTTCCCCCCCTGGATTCAACGGAAATCAGTGATAAAGGCGCACTATATTCCATTAGTTTTCTGGAAGTGGTTTTTATATCACATGAAAAGCTCGATTATAATGTGGAAATTAACAATTAGGGAAACGGAATTAGCAGAGACGGAACTGGTTCCTAGGATTCTGGAACGTTTCCCCTGCCATTCAGAGCCCTAGTGGGAGTCGGCGTCTGTAAATATGACAACTGTATCACCACGTGGAAGGATTTGTTGTGCCTGTGCGATGCATAGTCTTGCGCATGCTGGCGCCACTTGAATGCACATCTAAGCTCCCCTGTCTTCGGGGACCGACACCACTGATGTTGAAGGGAGCAGCTTACTTGCAGTTCCATGTTGCCTTTCAGACCTCTGTGCCTTTAGGTCACACGATTCCACGCCATGCTAGGTGTTGGGGAGTTTGGCTTATTCAATTTTGCGCTCTCTCTCCAGTGCCGCATAAGCTGTATTGATAGATTAATCTTATATTGTTGTGACTAAACAGCCCTGCAATTTTTTTTCCACTGTGCAGTCTAATCTGCCTTGACAGCTGTATCATTAGTTTATATTTGTTGTAATCTCATTCGCTATATTGGCTGTGCTGAGTTCTGATGTTAGTGTCTTCGTGCTGTCACAGCAGCTCCAGGCGGGCTCTGGGCACTACCCATCAGCTGTCTCCCAGCCTTGTCAGCTGTTCTCTAAGGGACTATATTTACTCCAGGGGTGTTTAAGAAAGTAGTAGTGCAGGCAGATGGGAGAGAGGCCTTCTGAGAAATGTTGAGGCTGGCCAGAAAGACTGTCCTGCTAGGACCCAGCTGACATTTGGGCAAGTTCTTTTGGTGCAAGTTCTTTTGAATCACGGACAAGTTCTTTTGGAGCAAACAGGGACGGGAGGAGCAGTTTACCCTGAAAATCTCCCCCCCCCGGCCTTTTTTTGGGTATTTTTTCCTACATCCTCACCACCTCCCATAGTAGCTGTCCCCTCCCCAGAGAGAGATTCTTGCTGGCTGGCTATGTGGTCAAGCCAATGTGGGATCCTGTAGCTGGTATGGTGATCTCATAGTGTTCAGGAGCCAAAAGAGATCTTATTGTACAATGAAATCATTGTGCCAAATCTGAGTGAGGGCATTTTCCAGCACCACCCTCGCTCTGAACTGAGTGTGTGAGGGCCATGGCTGTGCCTTGTCTCAGCTGCTGCCATCAAAAGTTCTCCGGATGTTACAGAAATCAGTGGATAGAAGGATCTTAGAGAAGATGTGTGTGGGAGTGGAGGTGTAATAAGGAGACTAGCTAGATCAGTAGTTCTCAACCTCTGGGTCCCCAGATGTTGTTGGACTACAACTCCAATCATCCCTGAGCTCTGGCCTTGCTAGCTAGGGGTGATGGGATTTGTAGTTCAACAACATCTGGGGACCCACAGGTTGAGAAAGGCTGAGCTAGATGATTCTACCTACTTTTCCTCTCCACTCAGCTCCATGAGCCCAGGGAGCTGGAAGGAACTGCAATAGGGTAAACACATTTGGGCTGCCATGACACAGAGGGTGAAGATACCAACCCATTTAGACCTGGAAGTGGAAGGTTAATCGATGAATACTTTTAAGACCGGTCCTGGGGTGCATTGTAGAGTGTGGTGTGCAATATTACCCCAGGTGATAGGTGGGCAGGGGGACAAAGGCTGCTAAAACAGTCCATTGGTTTTTTTTACAGCTTCCCTTATTAGGTTGTGGCTTCCTGGTGATGCTTTTGCGTAGGCTGGCTTTAATATCTATGCTGAGATTCTGACTTGGTTTTCTTTCTTTTTTAAAATAATTGTTATGGAGACATTATTGAAATGTGTTATTTTCTTTGACGTGCCTATTGATGAATAGTTATTCATTGCTGTTGTTTGTTTCACCTGACATACTGCTAGCCTCCTTGAACACCAATTCCTTTGTGCAACAGCAGCATGAAGTATTATTATTGAAGTATAATCCAGGGGTTGGCAGTGTGGCACAATAGAATAGGTAGCACGGTGTGCTTAGTTGCAGCAGGTGTGTGTGTGTGTGTATGTATGCACCCACAATAGTTTTCCCAGTTTGCAAATGTGCCCACAGGCTCCCTCAAAAGATTGGTGACTCCTGGACACACACCCTCTCTCTCTCCCTCTCTCTGTGTGTGATTATCTATTTATTTTGGAAAGTTGTTTGCCTGTTTGCTGTGCATCTTAACCAATTTGCATGATGGCTCCAGAAATCAAGGAGTAGGTTCTTGTTGGTGTTTGGCTTTTGTAGCTGGAGTTGGTCAGGGCCTCACCCTCCCAGTCCAGGTGGGAAAAAACCAGTAAGGCAGGCAGCAGGTTTTCCATGACTCACAGCCAGGACTGGTTGGGCTCCCTCAGCCTTCATTGGAGGCTTCTAAACAGAGGTTGGGTGGCCATCTGTCAGGGATTATTTAGCTGTGATTCCTGCATTGCAAGTGTTTGGACCATATTACTCTTGGGGTGCCTTCTTGCCCTACAATTCTGATTCTGTGAATGCTGACTGTGACTCTGCTAGTGTGTATTTGTGTGTGTGTGTTTGCTTTGTTCCAGTACATGTATTCTCATGACTTTGGGAACATAACATGCTGTATATAGCGGTTTCTGTTTTGACACCTAGCTCAATACTGTGTACTTGGATTGACAGCAGCTCTTCAGGGTCTCAGGCAGAGGTCTTGCCGAATCCTTGGCCCCCGATTCTGTTAACCTGATATACTAGGGGAACTTGAGAACTTCTGCATCAGTGTCAGCTCTGGGTTTTGGAGGGCCCTTGGGCAAGACACCCTCTCTATAGTCCCCTCCCTGCTTTAAGTGAATGTACCTCCACAGTGGAGCAGGTACAGAGGCCTTTATTCAGTGAACCCCTTGCTAGATTGTGGACAGGGGCAGAGGAAGGGGGTGCGGTGGGGGCAGACACCCCGGGTGTCTTTGCTGAGGGGGGTGACATTCGGTGCACCGCCCGCCCGTGACTCCCGAGCCTACCACGAGCCATCGGGGGAAGGGGGGAGCTGCGCCGCTTTGCTGATGGCATTCCCCCCCTTTGTTTTGACAGCTGGGGGAGGTTTGCGAGTCTTGAGTGGGCAGTGCGCCGAATGTCTGCCATGTGCGGCATGCTCCACCCCCAGCTGCAGGGTGTGCATGCCACTCCAGGCATCCAAGCAGCTATCCCGTGCCTGGGAGGGCACCCTCCTTGCCACGCCCCCCTCAGGAGCGTGCCCACCCTGGGCAGCGCAGGCATATGCTCTGCCGCTGATTGTGGGTCCTCAGCATGTGCCCAATTGTGCTCACACTCTCTACCAGCCATGTTCTGCCTGCAACGCCTATACCCAACCTCTGAGTCCAGCTTCCTCCCTTCCTCAAGCCACCATACTTAGAAGGTCTGCCTGGATTTACCCTCCGATGTCTGGAAGTCACCTTACTCCTTGTGTCTGTCATAGTACCTGAGGAGTCATTTCACAGCAGGATTTAGATTCATATCTACTGTCTCACCTGCCCTTTGCAGTGTTGTGTGGCTGCGGCTTTCAAGGAGGGCAGCTTGCATTTATTCTGCAGGACCTGGAGACATGAATCTGTCAAAGCAGCAGCCAGCAGCTGCAGTCCCATTTCAGAAGCAGAACCCCAACACTGGCCTGAATTCTAAACGTCTTTGAATCCACATGATTTGGTCTTCTAGTTTCTTATAGAAGCATAGAATCGTAGAATTGTAGAGTTGGAAGGGATCCCAAAGGTCATCAAGTCCAACTGCCTGCAATGCAGGAATCTCAGTTAAAGCATCCATGACAGATAGCCATCCCACCTCTACCATCCAATCTCTCCAAGGAAGGAGAGTCCACAACCTCCCTAGGGAGTCCATTCCACTGTTGAACAGCTCTTACTTTCAGAAAGCTTTTCCTGATGTTTAGTTGGAATCTCCTTTCTAACCCGAAGCCATTGGTTTGAGTCCTGCCCTCCAGAGGAGAGAAACAAGCTTGCTCCCTCTTCCATGTGACAGCCCTTGAGATATTTGGAGATTGTTTATTATGGTTTACAGCAGGCATAGCCAGACTTGGCCCTCCAGCTATTTTGGGACTACAACTCCCATCATTCCTAGCTAACAGGACCAGTGGTCAGGGATGATGGGAATTGTAGTTCCAAAACAGCTGGAGGGCCATGTTTGGCATGCCTGGTTTATAGTATTCCTTGTAGTTGCAGGAGAGCACTGGGCTGATGGGAGTTGAAGTCCAACAACTTCTGGAGGACAACGTTCCCTATATCTGGTGTGGACAATACTGCGTTGTTAGGAGGCCCCTATTCCCCTCCCAGAACTACAATTCCCGGAGTTCCCCAAAAAGAGGAATTGATGGTTAAACCATTCTGGGAACTGACACTCCATGTGTGGAATAGGGGTCACCTAACCACTCTAGGCACCCTTACAAATGACAGTTCCCAGGATTCTTTGTGGGAAGCCAGGACTGTTCAAAGTGGCAGGATCATAGAATCAGGAATATGCAGGAATATGCAGCTGTTTCATACAGGAATCAAACCTGCAACCTTGGAGTTACCAGACCACGTTCTAACCAACTGAGCTATCCAGGCTGTCTGCTTTAAATATTCAGTGCAGCTGGGCCTTGGTCTTAATTTCCCCTTAGCATTACACTTTGAGGAATTCACTTGACGCCTTTCAGTCCAGACTGAGTAAAGTTTTGCCACCATTGCAACAGGGCCTATTAAAACCTTCCTTGCTGAGCGACTCTTCAGCAGCCTGCAAGTATCAAGGCAGTGTTAGTGTGCATGATCTTCTAGGCTGCACCAAGCCCCTTGGGCATGTTGTGCCAGGAGGCCTGCGAGTCCCTGATTTGCATATTTGAACTTCCTGCTGTCACCGTTGCTAGGAACGTTGCTATGGCAAGTTGCAGAGGCTCTTGGGGTTTGTGCAAAGGTGACTGACACAGCTGCCTCGAACACGGATGATCCAAGTAAGAATTGGAGGGCGGGTGGCCGGCCGAGGGAGCAGGTCAGTTGGAATGGCTGCTTGTCCCAAATTAATTGGCTGAGGCTACTGCATAATTTCTAAAAAGCAAAAGTGAGGTAGGCTGGAGCTGCGGAAATCTGCCTTGGATTGGATGGCTGGTGGTTTCTCCTTTGCTACCCGCAATCCCAGCTATCCCGAGGGAGCTTAAAGCACACACCCCATTACATAATTTGCAGTCCATTACATACCTCCAGCATTTCTCCAATGAAAATAGGGACATCCTTTTCCATAATAATAATAATATTTTTATTATTTATACCCTGCCTATCTGACTGGGTTGCTTCCAGCATATATAAAAACATAAAACATTAAACATTAAAAAAAAACCTTCCCTATACAGTGGTACCTTGGTTTTTGAGCATCTCAGAAGCTGAGTGTTTCGGAACTCAAATGCCAAAACCCCGGAAGTGAATGCTTTTGTTTTTGAGCGTGTCTCAGAAGTCAAACGGCTTCCAAGGCGCATTTCTCAATGGAATTTGCTGACCGCCATTTGAGCCCTGGTTGTCGAACGTTTCGGAAGTCGAACTGTCTTTCAGAATGGATTACGTTCAACAACCGAGGTACCACTGTACTGCCTTCCCTTCCCTGCCTTCAGGTGTCTTCTAAAGGTTGCATAGTTACTTATCTCCTTGGCTCAGGGGTCACATAACTCAATAGCCTCCAACATTTCTCTGATGAAAATAGGGACGTCCTAAGGAAAAGCAGGGTCAAATTAGAAACCGTGATGGCTTCTGTAAATCCAGGACTGTCCCTGGAAAATAGCGATACTTGGAAGGTCTGAAGACAAATGGCAGCTTCTTGTGGGTTTCCTGGAGGCCTCTGGTTGGCTAGTGCTGTACGGAGAGACTCTTCAAGCTGATCCATCAGGGGTCTCCCCATGATCTTACAAGTTGCTGTAATACATGGGAACATCACCTTCATTATGCGAGCTTTGAAACAACATATTGCTCCTTTTGCCGCCGAGCCCCTCTGGGCAAGGGACAGATATTTGTCTTTCCTTTCCTTTCCTAAATGGCTATTATGGGGGCTTAATAAATAAGCACAGTTTCTGGAACGCCCGGCCTGTTTTTTTGGGCCTGCGGTATCGCAGAGCATTCTTGTGTGGGCGTGAGCGAGATGCTGCTGCTTTCTCAAGACAAACACATCCGTCATCCCTGCTCTCCGTGATAGCTCAGGGACACTGGAGCCTGTCGCTGTGCAGAGGAGGAATGCTGAGTGGGAAGCCAGGGTTATCGGGGGCTCTGTTTGAGAATTGCAGTGGGATCTTTAACAGGCCATGGAACCTGGTGTTGCTTTTCCTCCAGAGGATCATCTCCCCTGATCAGTATGCAGTTTGTGGAGCTCTTCTTGCACAGGCAGGTTGAAGATCCAGCCAGTAAGAGAGCCTTCGGGTGTTTATTGCTGCTCCCAGGAATGGCAAAGTGGCTGTGGCTCAGTGGGAGAGCCCGTGCTTCACATACACAAAGGCCCTGGTTCGATATCTGCTGTTTCCAGGTAGGGATGGGAAAGGTGGCTATCTGCACACCCAGGGGGGACTGCTGTCCATAGGCCAGCCTTCCCCAACCTTTTGATTTTTGGGGGTAAAAAACTTTTATTAACATTATTAACAACCCAAAAGTGCAGGGTATTACATCAGACTATATGCAGTGGTACCTCAGGTTAAGAACTTAATTCATTCTGGAAGTCCGTTCTTAACCTGAAACTGTTCTTAACCTGAGGTACCACTTTAGCTAATGGGGCCTCCTGCTGCCGCTATGCTGCCGCCGGAGCGCGATTTCTGTTCTCATCCTGAAGCAAAGTTCTTAACCCGAGGTACTATTTCTGGGTTAGCAAAGTCTGTAACCTGAAGCGTCTGTAACCCAAGGTACCACTGTACAAAGCAAGCAAACAATAAATAATAAGAGGGGGAACAGGGTTATGCACCAATATAAATCAAGGCATCCATATTACCCAAGCACAGTGAAATATGGGGCCTGACTTTAGGTTTGAGTCTCAAAACCCAGAAGCTGGCTGATGTCTCATGACATTTTAGTTGATCTCAACAGAGGTATTGCCCAGCTGTTGGTTTTAGAATCCTCTCTTTCCCTGAGCCTGTTTAGAGGTCACAGAGCGATGCAAAACAGTCACTGAAACTAAAGCGCTCCGTTCACCATCTCCAGCAAAGCTCTTCCAAACTTTCTGCCCAATGCCCTTTTATCCAGGGCATACAGTGGTACCTCTGGCTACGTACTTAATTCATTCTGGAGGTCTGTTCTTAACCTGAAACTGTTCTTAACCTGAAGCACCACTTTCACTAATGGGGCCTCCCGCTGCCGCGGCACAATTTCTGTTCTCATCCTGAAGCAAAGTTCTTAACCTGAGGTACTATTTCTGGGTTAGCGTAGTTTGTAACCTGAAGCGTATGTAACCTGAAGCGTATGTAACCCGAGGTACCACTGTACTAGTTCTATAAAAAAATGCACCCCACTTTGGGAAAGGCCTTTTGAAGGGTTGGATATAGCAACAAGCAAATATGACAATTTTGGTTTCTCATTTTTCCATCTTAAGTTCAGTTCTCTACATTTCCACAACAACTTGCAATTTTTAAAATTTCTTTTAAAATCCTCATGAAAAATACCACCATCATTTTAGTGCAAATTTCTCCTAGCAAGCACATTTCTGCAAAGCACCCCCCCCAAGTATCTTGCATTTTGTATTTCCTCTAGGCCCCCGTGCATTTTTAGCCATTTGTGTACCCATTCATTTGCTGGAAAACTGCATTGCAAAATTCACAGAATTTTGAAGGGTGTTGGCATTTGAGTTCATGGTTTGTTCTTGGGTTGTATTCAGTGCTAGCCCTACTCTGAGTTAGTCTGCATCGATGGACTTAATGTAAGTTACTGATGTCCATTCACTGCAATGGGTCTACTTTGAGTAGGACATAGCATTGGGCATAGTCCTCAGGAAGTGCTGATCAGGGGTGTTCAGTTTTAAATCTGAACTGAATCAGATTTCTCTCCAACCTTTAGTTATATGAGGAGGGGCACAGTCAGAAAAGCTGGCATTTACTCTGGTAGGTAAACTTAGCATCTTGGCCCTGTTTGTCACAGCTTGCTACTTCCTTCACCCCCATCCTGCATACACTGCAGAGCTGAGAGCTGGCTTTCTGCCTCTTGGAAAAACAAAGCCTGCTCCCTTGAACTGGAAGCCACACAAACGGGAATGGTGGCTTCAAGCTGTGCTGAGTAAAGCTCTCCAAAACAGCCTTTTTAAAATCCTAGCTAAATGATAGGCTTTTCTGACCTAGGCACTTAGGAAGGTGGAAATGACTAGATGTGGTGGACAAGCTGTGAGACAGTCTGTTTCTCTTTCCCCCCCTCTGAGGTTTAGTGAGTCCAATCTAGGACAGCCTTGGGCAAAGGAGAGGGGCAGGAAGCAAAACAGAGCTTGGAAGGAGAAGCCGTGCTAGGAATGTTGCCGAATTCCACTTTATGCCAAATCGGGTGGATCTGTCAGCACTAAAAGCACGCTGTGTTGGGCCAGGGACTTCAGGGAAGCTGACTGAGGCCCTCTCTGGGCTGGGGTGCTTTAATGGCAATGGAATTTGGTCACTTTGGCATCGGGCTGGGATGGGGAAACTGTGGCCCTCTAGGTGCAGAAAATCAGCTGCAAAATCACTCCTAAAAGTGTCGGATCAAACAGTAACCATCTACGTTGGTAAATGTCTTGTCCATTTGTTCTCTATGTGTTTGGACACCTCTCAAGATATCCTCTCCAAATATGGTGTGAAGGTTCCCAAGGTGGGGTAGCAGTTGGGATACTGGCCAGAATTTTGAATCAAGATGGCTGACTTTGGCATGCTTTTTGATGTAGTGGGTCAAAGCTACATGGAATTAGACACCTCATAATAAATCATCACCCCATTTGCCAGGTCTTTACCATGTCTGGTGTGGTGGTTCCAACTTGCACTAACTTGGATGGCTCTGAAGATACCACTGGGCAGGATGGATACAACTGGCACCGATTGGGATGCCTCTTGAAATATTGTCGCCAAACTTGGCACAAGCGTTCTCGGGGTGGAGGCGGCAGTCTTCATCTATATTTGGATGCCAGACCCATGTTGAATCAAGATGGCCAAACAAATTGATTCAGGGCCAGGCCAGGTATTCCCCAGGTCTGTCTCTCTCTCTCTCTCTCTCTCTCTCTCTCTCTCTCTCTCTCTCTCTGTGTGTGTGTGTCTGTTCACATAGCCCCACACCTCACAAATTACACTATTCATTTAAATATCTATCTACCGTAGATTCCAGCGTATTAGGCGACTGGGTGTATTAGATGACCCCCCCAAATTGGCAGCTGCAATTTGGGGGTTCGTCTTCTAAGCCCAGTCACCTAATACGCTGGGCAGCTCCGCGCCGGGAGAAAGCCGCCCAGCGCAGAGTGGAGCCCGCCGCCCCTGCTGCTGCTTCCGGGTGGCTCCGCACCGGGCGGCTCTCTCCCGGCATGGAGTGGAGCCCGCCGCCGCTGCTTTGGAGCTGCTGCTGCCGCAGCGGGAGGGAGGGCGTGCTCCACTCCGCGCCGCCCATACCCGGTGTATAAGATGACCCCCGACTTCTTAACCTCTTTTCCGGGGTTAAAAAGTCGTCTTATACACCGGAATCTACGGTATCTATCTATCATCTATTTATCTATCATCTAAACAATTTCAAATTCCTGGGTAGTGCTGGGTATTCCCATCTAGTGCCCATATAAATGGTCAGCACATAAGGGCCCTTAGACCTGATATACCTTCAAATCAGTGTTTGAAACTCCCATTGTTCTAGGCACATTTTGCAACAGGAAATTTCATTAGGGTGAGCAGTTTCTGAGCTCTGGGCACAATACTGCACCTCAGATTTCAGAATAAAACTGCAGAGTGGAAGGAAAGGACCTTTTTCTGCCTTCCCACTTCCAGCTACTTTCCAAAGACTGGAGAAGAGACCCTCTTAAGAATATTAGGGGGTGGGGTGGGCAGGGGAAGGGCTGGACCATTTGAAAAATGAACATAATATTTTAGCTGCAGTTCATTCATTTTCAGCTTTGTATTCTAGTTATAAAAAAGCGTGCCTAGACATTCAGTTGTTGCACTCATAACCTCAGTTTAAGGTGACGTTTAGCTCCTAGCTTTCATATCTCAGTTTCTAACACTGCTTCAAATAGAGGCTGACCTTTCAAATAGAGGACTGTAAACAGTAAAGTAGGATGCTTAGCCACTCTAAAGTTGGGTTGAATCCAGATACTTTGTATGTACTGTATGTATGTGTATGGGCGTGTGTGCGTACACACACACTATATTCAGTTTTGCCAAATTATTTTCAGAGGAGATGCAAGAGCCAAAAGTTTGGAAAGTGTTGACTTAACCCTGGAGGCTAATGAGCTGGCTGTAGCTCAGCAGACGGGAGAAGAGAAATTTACTGTATTCAGCTTCCGCAGCCATTGAGAAAGCGAGTGGATGGGACCGAAGTTTTGGTCAAGCCCCCGTCAGCATGGGCCTGATATGCCACCCCATGTTAACAGAAACCAGTAACAAATGCTTGGCTTGACTCATAGGAAATTGGATTGATCTCCGCTCTCCCCCCGCCCCTCCACCGCTATTGCTGTTGAATGAGCTGCCCCAAGGCCCCGGGAGAGTGTTGGCTGTGTGTGAGGTGTGAAACAATGTCTCCATTCATTAACGGAATGAGCTTCCTTTCTCCTATGACTTTTTTGGATTCCTCCGGCACTTCCCATTATCGCTCTCCCTCCCCTCCAAAATAACTGACTTTGCAAATTTTGGCAGCGGAGCAAAATGGGGGGAGGGTTTGGATAGCTGCTTCAGAATGGTTTTGGTTTCCTTCTCCTTTTGATTCCTCCCTCCTTCTCCCTGGCTTGGCCTGGTGCTGATTCTGCCCTTTGGCGCCTGCTGTTGCCACGGCAACTCTGGATGTGTCTTTTTAGATCAGTGACATCACCGGGCATCCCAAACAACCGAGGGACTGTGCTCTGGTATTGAGACTTTTGGTCCGTGGCAATGTCGGCCATTGTTTAGCTCTCGAAACTTCCCCTTCCCCTTGTTCTGCTCCTCTTGTCCGGCTGTTGTGCGTTCTTGGCTTGGCCCTTCCCCTCCCCTCCCCTCACTTTTCATGCCAGGATACATGTAACACTAGGAAGCATGGAGCAGAAAAACAACAACTCTTCCTTGTTCACAAACTGCGAGGAAATGCCATGTGAGGGGCAAGGGGCATGTCAAGGCCATGTCAAATCTAGACGGCAGGATGGATGTCTTATTCACACCATACAGTCAAAGTAAGGCATAGGCAAACTCGGCCCTCTAGATGTTTTGGGACTACAACTCCCATCATCCCTAGCTAACAGGACCAGTATGGGAATTGTAGTCTCAAAACATCTGGAGGGCCGAGTTTGCCTATGCCTGGTCAAAGTGTTATGATACCACTTTAAACAGCCATGGTCCCCCCCCCCTCCGATAATTCTGAGAGCTGCATCTTGG